ATTTGGAGGACCTGGGTTCACTTGACCTGGATCCTCTGCTTCCTTATCTAGAAACTGCCATATCTGGAATCTGTATTCCTCTCCTGCCTCTTCCATTTCTAAATCTGCAATCCTATGATGTGACTGGCAGTCCACGGGCAAAGTCAGGATTTGAACTCAGCTCCTCTGCTGCTGAATCCAGGGCTCTGTCCTCTATCCCAGGCTGAATCTTCTCTCTGCCTCTCTGTGCCTTTGTCCTAGAGGCCCTCACCTCCGCAAGTTTCTGGTGAGCGTGCTCGTAGCAATAGATGAAATGTGAGACCTGTTTTTTGGAAAGAGCCGATCTGTCCTGAGGCACACCTCAGTCTCTGGCACTGAGACTGAAGCCGTAAACAAAAGTCAACTTGTGAAGGCAACGGGCCTTTAATTAGCTGGCTTTATTTTTAAGCTTATGTGAACAGGCAGCTAAGTGGTGCAGTGGGAAAGAGTGGTGGAGGCATTTGGAGCCAAGTTCAAATCTGACCCCAGAGGCTAGCGGTGTGACCCTGGGCAAGTCAATTAATAGTCAACAAACATTTATTAAACACCTACTGTGTGTCAGACACTGGGCCCCAAGGCAGGCCCTGCTCTTGAGCGCACAGCCTGAGGGGAGAGACAACATGCAAACAACTACAAACACACAAACTATGTACGGGATAAATGGGAGATAATCAACAGGGAGAAAACACTGGAATCTCTCAGCCTCAGTTTCCTAATGATAGCACCTACCTCATAGTGCTGTCATAAGGATCAAATGGAATATTATTTGTAATTATTTAAAGCCCTATTATTATTACGGTTTAGAGATAATAAGATTTGGGATGATTTTTCCTGCCTCTTTTTTTTTCCCCTGTCTAACTCCTAATAGAAAAAACGATCCAAGGGTAGGATCATTTTATAAGAGATGAAACACACATTGGAAATAGTCACCTGAAAGTGGGCTCCTCCTCCACACAAAATGAAGCAGTGATAGCTAGAAGGTGCCTGAGGCAAGGTTTGAATACTGATTTCAAATCCAAAGCTCTTTACCCCACACTGCCAAGAAGACCCCACTCTGGCCAACCAAATTGGCCAAAATAATTAAAAGTTCCAAAATTCAGTGTTGGTGGAACTGCTAGAAAACAGGTACGACTCACTGTGTAGTACGTCAGAACTCCCAGCCTAGCGGCTTTAGGCTCCAAAGACCCAGGTTTGAATCTGAGCTCTACCACTGGTTACTACTGTGACCTTAGACAAGACCCTTTTCTCCAGGTCATAATTTCCTCAATGGTAACATAAAGGGGTTGAACTAAATGTCCTCTAAGGCCCCTGCTGGTTCTGGCATTCAAAGTCCTAAGATTTCACCTCTAAAATCCTACAACATTCAATCTCTCATCTCCATGCCTTTTCACTGGCTATCTCCCATGCCTAGAATCCCTTCCTTCTTCATTTGGGTCTTGTGGCTGTCTTCAAGACTCAACTGAGGGCAGCGAGGTGGGGCAGTGGATAGAGCACCGACCCTGGATTCAGGAGGACCTGAGTTCAAATCCAGCTTCAGACACATGATACTTACTAGCTGTGTGACCCTGGGCAAGTCACTTAACCCCAACTGCCTCACGCAAAAAAAAAAAAAGAAAAAGACTCAACTGAAATCCCACCTTCTGTAGGAGGCCTTTCCTGGCCTCTTCTAGCTACTAGGGCTTTCCTCTGTGATTACCTCTCATCTGATCCGTATATATCTTATATGTACATACTTATTTCCATGTTGTCTTTCCTTTAGAATGTCAGTTCCTTGGAGGCAAGGACTGTTTTTGCCTTTTTTAATATCTCCAGAGCGTATACTATAGTGTATATATGTTTTTGTTGTTCAGTCTTTTACATTGTGTCTAACTCTTTGTGACTCCATTTGGGGGGTTTCTTGGCCAAGATACTGAAGTGGTTTGCCATTTCCTTCTCTGGTTCATTTTACAGATGAGGAAACTGAGGCAAATAGGATTAAGTGACTTGCCCAGTGTCACATAGCTAGTAAGTATCTGAGCTCAGATTTAAACTCAGAAAGACTGGTCTTTCTGACTCCAGGCCCAGTACTTTATCCACTCCACCACTTAGCTGCCCTGAAAATTGTTGTTGAATCATATCCTACTCTTCGTGACCTCATTTGGGGCTTTCTTGGCAAAGATACTGTAGTGGTTTGCCATTTCCTTCTCCAGCTCATTTGACAGATGAGGAAACTCAGGCAAACAGGGTCAAGTGACTTCCCCAGGGTCACACACTAGTAAGTGTCTGAGGCCAGATTTGAACTCTGTTTGTAGTCCCAGCACTCTGTAGTATAGTATGTAATATATAGGCACATAGTAAGTGCTTTTAAAAAGAGTGGTTCTTGATTGATAAATAATTGTACTGAATTTGTAGATCAGAAAAAAAAAGATGATAGCTTTAGAAAGGGTTTTAGTTTCAGGCAGCTCAAAACAAGTAGTGTATTCCTCTTATTCTGAAGACAGATTAAAACTGGGCAGGGGCATAGTAAAGAAGAGGTAAGAATTTTTGTCCCCACTTTTCAGATTAAGAAATTGATACTCCTTAGGACATTATTGGATAGCTCTTTTTATACCCTTTTGTATACTTTGTAGCCCCCTTCCAACAAAAAGTACACACACACACACACACAAATGCACGTTCAGTATTTGTTCAAAACATTTCAAGTGATCTCAGAAAAGCTTTGGTCCCTTTAAGGAAAGAAAAAAAGTCCGTCTCCCAAATTGGAGATTATAAGAAGCAGTTACAGTAAAGCTCCTCTATTTGAAGCTGGAGCTTTGATTAAGGAGGTGACCCAGGAGGATGTGATTGCTGTCTCGGAGCACTGGAGGGGCCGCCGTGTGGAAGAGGGATTAGCTTTGTTCCAGTTGGCCCCAAAAGACAGGATGGGGAACAGCAGGGGGTGGAAGCTGCAGAGAGATAGATTCAGGCTGGATGCCAGAAAACCCTTCCTGATCGTTTGAGTTCTTCCTTGGTGGAGTGGGCTGCTTGGCCGATCGGTCACGTGTTCATGAAATTGGGGAGAGGGCATCCTTATTAAATCATGGGTTTGCCGAATCAACTTCTGGGGTTCCTTTCAGCTCTGAGACTCTGTGAACTGTGTGGACAATTGCATGCCTACTGTCTAGGAAGGAAAAAAGAAGTCATTCTCTGTGTTTGTTGATCTTTCATTTATTCATTAATTTTAGCCAGTGCTTAGCACCACGCCAGGCATGTGGCAGGCGCTTAATGAGTGCTTAACGGTTGTCGACTTGACTTTTCGTAGAGCTAGGTTTTTCTAGCTTCTTTCACTCTTCCTCTTCCTCATCCTTCTTGTCATACTGGGACTGAAATGTGTCAATTCAGAGTGTCTGGGTTTGGCTCCGTGGACCCCTAACAACCTTTGCGTTATTTTTCTTCATCAGCCATCTTATGGGTCCTTTAGCCTGTGTGGCTTATGTCGAAGTTGAAAAAGCAGTCTGTTTGGATTCGAATCTCACCTCAGATACTGATCAGCTGTGTGTCTTGAAACAAGTTGCGTGATCTGAGTCTTAGTATGCCCTGGTAAAATAGGGGTGATGGGGCAGCTAGGTGGCACAGTGTATAGAGCACTGACCCAGGATCCAGGAGGATCTGAGTTCAAATCCAGCCTGAGACACTTGATATTTACTAGCTGTGCGACCCTGGGCAAGTCACTTAATCCTGTTGCCTAGCCAAAATAAAATAAAATAAAATAAAGTAAAATAAAATAAAATAAAATAGGGGTGATGGTAGTTCCCACTGCCTTTATAAGATTGTTGTGAGGTTCAAATGAGATGATAGATGTGATGCTTTGCAAACCTCAAAGTATTCTACAAATATCTGTTGCTGTTACTATTACAACTGCTTTTTCAGCCTCAGTTTCTTCATCTGTAAAATGGAATAATTATGACTCCCACCTCACTGGCTTGTTGTGAGGATCAAGTGAGATGCTATATGTGAAATTCCTTGTAGCCCTTAAAGCACTGTATAAATAAATGTCAGTTATTATCTGAGTTAGCTTGTGTAAGTCACTTACTTTCTCTGGACTTGATTTTGCTCTGGAATTATAGACCTAGAACTGAAAGGAGTCTTAGAGTTATCTGGTCTAACACGCTTTTTTTACAAATGAGGAAACTGAGGCCCAGAGAGTTTAAATGACTTAACCAGAGTAACTCAGGTAATCTGTTCAGTCATTTTTCAGTCCTATCTGACTCTTCATGACCCCAGTTGGGGTCATTTTTTTGGCAAAGAAACTGGAGTAGTTTGCCATTTCCTTCTCTAGCTCATTTTACGGATGAGGAAACTGAGGCAAACAAGGTGAAGTGACCTGTCCAGGGTCACACAGCTAGTAAGTGTCTGTAGCCAGATTTGAACTCGGGAAGATGAGTCTTCCTAACTCCTGGCCTGGCATTGTGCCACCTAGCTTCCCCAACTCAGGTAACTAAAACTGGCATTTGTATACAGCAGTTTAAGGTTTGCAAGAGTAGAATATAGTGAGTTGAGAGCTGACTTCCAAGGCAGAAGACTGGATTTCTGTCCTGCCTCTGATTTGTATGGGCTCAGCATCCCAGGCAACTCTCAAAGACGTTATTATAGAGTCTTTGCCAATTTGCTTTGTTAGTGAGAGTTTGCAACACCAATGTCTTCGCAATACCCAGTCTCGTCTCAATTATTTTTTAAAGATTTGCAAAGTGCTTTACACATATTACTTAATTTGGTCCTCACAAAAACTCTGAGTTTGGTATGACAGGTCTAATTATTCCCATTTTATAAATGAGAAAACCGAGGCAAGAGAGGATAAGCAATTTGCCCAAGGTCTTATGAGTTGTAAATATAATAGCTGGGATCGGAACCCAGCACTGTTTCTACCAAATAGCCTTTCAAGTCCTTTTGAGTTCTAAAGCTTGTGATTGAATAACCAGTGGGTTCTAAGCTCTCTTCTCTGCCTGGTTTTTTTTCCCCCTTAGGCCTCAGTGAAATTCAGTGTTCCCTGCCCATGGAAAACAGAAGGATCTTTCTGCATGAGCTGTCCGAAGCCAGTTTTAGTGAGTGCAAATTCAGCCTCTCCCTGACAGACCTCTTCATCATCATCTTCTCGGGCGTGGCCGTGTCCGTAGCTGCCATCATCTCCAGCTTCTTCCTGGCCACTGTGGTCCAGTGCTTCCAGAGGTGTGCCCCCAACAAGGATACAGAGGATGAAGATGATGAGGAGGATGACTGACCTGGGAATTCCTCGTACTTTGTGTCCAAGAACCCAAGCCGGGAGCCCATCTCAGAGAAAAGAAGGGAAAATGGCCCCTACAGGAAAGAGTTGTCTGCCATCGGTGCAAGGTCAGCAAGACCTTTCTCCCTCTTCTAGACCTTGAGGTCTCAGACCCTGTTGGCATGGCTGGGGGCCTTTGTTCTCAGGGCTTAGAAGTCAGCAGAAAGAGAGGGGCCCGAGGAAACCATCCTTTTGTTGTCCAGCCTCTGAGAAAAGCCATGCCCTGGCTTGGGTCTGCAGGGAGAGCAAAGGTCAAAGCTTCCTGCCTGAGGATGAGGAGGCCCAACCAGGAAATAGGAGGACTTCATAGCCTTTGACTAGAGTGATGATTTGAGTCCATTCACTTCTCGGTGACCTTACTGGGGTATTGGCCATGGTGGGGTCGGACCCAAATACCCTCCACCTCCCAAGTGACAGCTTGGGGCTCCAGCCCAGAGCCAGACTGACTCAAGAACTGTGACTTGGAATTGTGAAGACCTGGGTTTGAATCTTGCCTCAGACACTTACTAACCACACGACCTGAGGCAAGTCAGTGGACCTCCCTGAGCCTCGATTTCCTCATCTGTAAGATGGGGATGATCACAGCACCTACCTCACAGGGTTGTTGTGAGGGTCAGATGAGATAACGTGTGTTGAGCACTTTGCAAACTCTAAGGCACTTTTATAAATGTTTGATATTATCATTACTGTCCAATGCTGAATAGCAGAAAGCTTGCTTCAGAATTTAGAAGACCTAGGTGCTAACCTTACCTCTGCCTCTGCGTCATACTCACAAGGGACCTAGCCTTACAGTGCTCCAGGCAGGTCTATAAGTCTTGGGCCAGGTGGTGATCTGCACTGGAAGAGAAAGTTATTTCCCAGGGGCTCACAATAGTGATGAAATCACAAGCCTGATCTACTCCCCCACACACACAAAGAAATTATCATTGTTATATTTCTCATTGGAGGCAAGAAGTAAACACATTTTTTATATAAAAATAAGCCACAAGAGCCAGTTAATGACTTGAGCTAATGGGTTAGATTCTGAAGTCTAGCATTTTAAGGGGGGAACAAATGAGCAGCTGATCCCACCCAGGGAAAGTAGCCAAGTTCTAGCAGTACCAGCTAATAGCTTGGGGTTGGGGAAAGAAGATATGAGAGGGGATTGAATGAAGTCAGTGAAACTCTCTCCTCGTCTATGAAATCAGTTTGTAGAACCAAGGAAATGAAGGGCAATTTAAATTGTCATTCCCCCCAGAAGAATGCCCCCCAAATGCAACCAGTCAGGAAATAAGCATTTATTAAGTGGCTGTTATGTGCCAGGCATGGTACTAGGCATTAGGGGTACAAATAAAAGGCAAAAGACAGTTCCTGGTCTCAAGGAACTCACTGTCTAGTGGGAGAAACAACGTGCAAACGAGAATGTACAGAAATGGTGATGATCACCAAGGGGATGGCATGAACATTAAGGGGCATTGGGAAAGGTTTCTTGTAGGAGGTAAGATTTCAACTGGGACTTTCAGGAAGACAGGAGGCAGGAGAAGGAGGGGGGAGCATTCCAGCCATGGGGGACAGCCAGTGCAGATGCAAAGAATCCAGAGATGGAGCATCTTGTGGGAGGAACAGCAAAACGGCCGGCACCATTGGATCAAAGAGGAATAAGCTATCCTAAGACTGGAGAAGTAGGAGGGAGCCAGGTTCTGAAGGGCTTTAAATGCCAAACAGCCGTTTTCGTGTATTGTGTCCATTTTCAAGGTCTGCCATCGTTCTTGACCATTTACCTCTTCACAAAATTTTCCAGAGATCAATATCCTAACATACTCATGTTCCACAAAATCACATGGCCTCTTGTGGTTCAAGACTGGAACTTTCTCCAAAAACCACCTTACCTATGGCTGTCAGGAAGAATGGAAGGTTTTTTGGAGAAGTAGAAACCATGATGGTACTTTGTCATTCATGGGATGCAATTTCCACCTTTCAAAGAGGATGTGAAAACCAAGCTAGTTTTTCCTAGGTTTATTGGGGAAGAAAATTATTTCAGGAAAGTTATTCTGTTATGAGGTGTTAGATCAGCCACCAAGGGATGTAGGGATTATTGACTGATTTTTCTATCGCGCTCCATCTTATATTTTTCTTTCTTCATTGGTTCTCTGTCCTTTTTTCTGTCTTCCATCTACATCCTTTTCTCTATTCGATTCTCTAATCATAATTATGGAATTTTTAGTTTATTTTAAATATTTTATTAATGCCTTTTATCTTGACATCACAGTTATTTCCAACCCCTTCCCCCTTCTAGGTGGAACTATTTCCTGTGACAAAGAAAATCAATTAAGCAAAAATTATCTGATACAATTATATAATTTTAAAGATAGAAAGGCCCTTGATCACCTCTGGTCCAACATCCTCACTTTGAAGTTAAGGCTCATTGAGTCGGAATGAGTTGTCCCAGTTCATATAGTATGAATAATGACAGAATTGGGACTCAGTGTGAGAGGTAAGGCCAGGCAACAGTTCATTGGAAAGATCTGGGGGTTTGAGTGGGCCTCAAGCTCGGTATGTGCCAACAGTGTGATATGGCAGCTGAGAAACCTAATATAATCTCAAAGAGTTTATTAATTGTGAGAATCAATTGAGGGGGGAAAGGTGCATAAACACTTTGAGATCCTTTAAAGGTCTATATAGATGTCAGTTATTATCAATGTCACTTCATCCCATGCTAGTCTCTATATGACTTACTAGGTCATCTTCAAGATTGGCTATAGCTGAAAAATGCATCACCCTTCTACCAGCTTGGATATAGGTCTTTCGAACTTTGCAAGGTTGATGCTGAGATGGCAGCTGTGGAATCCCATCGTGGGCCTACCTGGCACCACTGGCACCACTGGCTAGTGATATATTGGCAAACTAAAAGTGATGATCAGCTATTTCTAAAACTCTTACTGGGCAGTTTTGGAAGAAACAGTTATTTTTGCTTTCAATTGTAATTATTTTAAATATTCATACACAATTAAAGATCATATTTTTATTCCCATTAATGAAGTCCTAGCATCAGAGCATGGCAAAAGTCTATTAGGGAGAGAGGGAGTATACTCTAATGGCCAGAGGGCTGACCTTAGAGTGAGGGAGGTCTGGGCCCATCTCCACCCTTCTATACAGGCTGGCTCTGTGACCCTGGACAAGTCACTTAACTTCTCAGTTCCTCTAGGAAATGCCATAAGATTATTAAATGTAAAAAGATGCACTGCTAGAGAACGTTTCTTCCCAGGGAATAAATGTGATGAAACCACAAATCTGGTCCCAAAGGAAAAAGGTGGGGGGAAGGCTCAAAAAGCCCTGGGTCTCAGATCTAGGTACCATGAAGGCCATGTGTCCCTCATTACTATGGAGTCACCACCAGGGTTCACCCACTAATGATGTCCTGGCATTATCTTTGTGGAGATTTATGCGAGAAAGTCACCAGGAGGTATTTGATCAAGTTGGGAGTAAGAGTTCTGAGTTTGCCCTCCATTTTAGGACTGGGGCCCCTGTAGGCACATGCCAACTGGGTCTGGCATTTTGCTTTCCAACTTCTCCTTGCTGAGAGATTGTTATGAGGCATTGCTGTTGATGATGGGGGTGTTTGCTATGCAGAGTAAATAGAAGCAGGACCTAGGAAGAAATGATGGGATGATGAGAGTGATGACTTGGGAAGCCTCTCTCACTGCCCTGGCCCTGCAGTGGGGATAGGGATAACTTCCATGAGCTGCCCTGTCCCCTCCAGAGTCTGACTTGTGAACTCCCTCCCCACCTAGGCAGCTGGGTAGTGCAGTGGATAGAGCACTGGGCCTGGAGTCAGAAAGACTTGAGTTCAAATTCTTCCTCAGAGACTGGTTGTGTTACCCTGGGCAAGTCACTTTGCCTCTGTTTGACTCAGTTTCCTCAACTATAAATGGGGATAATAATATCCTCACATGGTTGGTATGAAGATTAATTCAGAAAATATTTATAAAGCATTTAGTATAATGCCTGGCACACAGTAGGTGTTTAATAAATGTTTGTTTCCTTCCTTCTTCCTCCCCCACCACCCCCACTGATATCACTGTGAAAGAGACAATAGTCTAAAATAGGAAAAGCTGATTTCTGTTGCAACTAGTGGTGCCTAACTCTGGCTGGGGATTTCTATGAACTGTATACCCCTTGCATTCCAGTCTTTCATTTCTATCATGCATTGATCTTTTACATGAAGAAAACTAGCAGCTCCTGATCTTGGCTGGTGGCCCAGCTTAATGCTGGTGGCCCAGGTTAAGATCTGGGTAATTGTGAGTCAGAAGTGGAAAGTGAGAGACCCATCCTGCTCCAGCTGAGGTTAAGGGAGGTGGACAGAGGCAGCGCCTCCTACTGGAGATCATAGAGACTCTGGGGCCACTTTGTCATATTATTGTCAACCCAGCTAGAGCAAAAAATGGAGAGAGAAGCCAATAACTTAAGCTGAATCAAAAGCCCACATAGATCACCAAGGAATTCCTTAAGGCAAATGCAAACTAAGGACCCAGAAATTTCAGTTCAATTCAATTCCATAAATGCCAGTCTGGGGGTAAGATTTATCCTGCATAAAGGCAGAGTTAAAGAAACTCTAGAGCAAAATGGTAGAAAAGAAGCCTATTTTTATTCTGAAAAACGTGGAAAAAATATTTGGGGAAAATGCATGATTTCATTTGAATATTTTATAGAGAAAAATAGCTTGGCATCTCAGTTCTCTCATTGAGGTCCCATTGGAGTGGCCTTGATCCCCAGAGCTCAGGGGACACATTCAGGACCAGGCCCTTCCTCCATTTCCAATTTTCTTTCACTTGACTTCTTTACATACAAACATTCCAGCTGTCCTGGCCTGATTGCTATTCCTTTCAGATGACGCCATCTTCCATCCCCCCTGCTTAGTGCAGGGCCTGGCACATGGTAATGGCTTGAGAAATGTTTGTTGACTGGCTGATTGATTTGGG